AAGTTAAGAAATTCGTCGAAAAGTACGAAAGTACGTATTTATTTACCGTACGTATTTCTAAGCCGATTATAACATGTAAGAAAGAGAAGATGCGAATATCGTCTCGTTGACACGCACTTGTCAGTAAATAATGAAGTAGGTAGGTAGTCACAGTTGTAATACCCTTGTTCATAACATTATTGCAACCAAATGTCGGGTAGTTAACCGTTATCAAATATTAATTTAATAATTTAATTTATTCTTCAAAGATACCTATTAAGTACCTACATCGGAAAACAAAACTAATAGGTACAGTGGCCAGCAGATCAACGTACACATCTGACAAATTTATTAATTGGATTTTCGACTTTATGTCAATACGATAAAGTTGAAGTTACCGTACCACTAATAAATAGGTGTAAGTACATCAGCAGTGCCGTGTATGTAATAGCCGCACCAGCGGTCGGTTTCTTTTGACGGCTTTTGTCAAAGATACCGCCGCTTGCGGCGGCATCGTGAAAGGGGTAGTTTCCCTTTCAGTACGCCGCGTTTGTGATCGAATGAGTTAGAAAATAAAATTTGTTCATCAGTTCACTGCTAGACTTCCGGGATAGTGTGTGTGCTTTTCGCTAATTTCCGACGGGTTACGCGCGCGTTGTGCTAAACGATTGTTGTTGTTTTTTGTAATTAATTATTATTTTAGTTCTTAGTTTTTTTAATTATTACCTAGTTTTCTTTACTGTGAACCGGACACTGACATTTGTACTTTTGTTAACTGTGTATTTTATTTTATTTATTTAACTTTTAATTGTGTGTTTACGTGTGTCTGTGTGTTGTGCCGAAATGCCGCGATATTATTACATGGTGAATGTCATCGTTAGCGTCGGCTCTGCGAACTTATCGGGGGAGGTATGGCGCATCTCGTCACTGTTCGATTGATGTTTGTACAAAGGCTTAGAGAAAATCTGCCCATAGTGCCCAATACCCATGATGGAGCTTTGCTGGTCGGCAAACTTCATCGATCTTGGAACAAAGGGTTTTAGCCTATTTCCGCAATAACCCAACCTGCAGTCTTAGGCAAGCAGGGCGTACGTTCCGTTATCGTCCAATGGTTCACGAGTTCAAAGAGTGAATGAGCCCCGTCACTGCAGTGTTACTACCAAGCCGCGTCACCCGTGCCTTCCATAACGTATGCGACGTTGCCGCTCTTCTGAGGTCAAGGTACGTTGTTACACAGAGTGTTATACTTTCTTGAATCTATTTTATTATTTGTTTTGTTTGAAAATTTCACTTTTTTAATTTAAGGTTTTCGTCTAAATCTTTGGTCGTGTTATACTTCTGTGTAATAATACTACATTATAGTTCATTTATTGTATAAGTCCGTGCCACATACTGTATATGTTACTGTAAAAGCTCGAACTACGGTAAATCTTAAGATTTAAGTGTAAGTCTTAGGATTTACCGACATGAGTTGGTAAATGTAAGTATTTCTGAAGATACGACGATTTTTTCGAGCTTTTACCATTCGAACTCAGTATATGCTAGGTTTTACCACTGTCAGCTGGTAGATGTTGGTTTTAGGAATAAAACAATGATATTTAATTCCTAATTATTTACTTTGAACTATTAGACAGGTACTACGTAGTATTATAAAGATATCATAATGATAGTAACAAGTACAAACTAATATCAACTTATTTAAATTATGTATTTTGAAAAAACACATAACGTATATATCTGAATATCTCAATCTCTGTCATATCTATCTAACTGAATCAGTACTTCTCTATTTGCAATTTAACAACGAAATACAAACATAATGCTTATAAAAGCTAGTCTAACTTAATTATTATTTTTCTTATTATTTGGTTTAGAAATAATTAATGACAATCAAATGTAATTGATTAATAGGTAAGGTTCCTAAAAAAACATTCTCTTTAATGTTCCTTCTTTTAATGTTATTTGCAGTTTTTACTTCCTCTAAACACTTAGCGTATTTGTCCTTATCGAGACAAAAGTTATTATCGTTTTGTTTGCCACAAGCTCGTTCATTATTTCATAAAATCTTTGCTTCATACTCATTTTTATTCATAAATAACTTTTAAACACCAAAAATATAATTATAAATTAATTTATCGTACGAGTTCAAACGTGTCAAACGAGCGACTGAGGCGAGTGGAGTGGCGAAGACGGTGCGCGGGTAACATGTTTTGTTTTTCAACATTTACCATGCCATTGATGTAAATCCTAAGATTGACCAACGGAATGGTGGTAAAAGTTCGAATCGAAATCTTTTTGGACATTTACCATTAGGAATTGGTCGATCTTAGGTTTTACTGGAATATCTTAGGATTTACTGCAGTTCGAGCTTTTACAGTAACATATATATTTTTTTTTCTTGTAATCGACTATCTTGTAGTGTATGACTGTAATGTATCTACGACTAAAATGTAATATGTCTATGACTATGATATCAACGTAAATATTGTATTGTAATTGTGAAAATTATTATGGTGACTTTAATTTAAAATTTTTATACTTTGCACGCTTGCTAGCAGGCAGAATACAATGACTTTGAGGCTGTAAGATCTTCCTTTGTAAATATGTATTCTTGCAAATAAATGAATTTGAATTTGACACACCGGGCGTCGGGGATCGCGAGACGATCTCCGGCCACCGTAAGCGCGGGACTGCAGACGGCGAGCATGGGTGGCTCCCCGTCCGACCAGAAACAGACCCGAGCGTACGGCGCGTCGCGTTCCGCGCGCGCCTCAAAGAGCCATCAGACCACCACAGATGGGGCCCAATAGGACCGATGCCGATTCGGAGTCGCGGAGAACCTAACGGGTAACCGGGGCTCCGACTCGACGTGCAGGAGAAGGAACGGGGTGGTTTTTAGTCAGTAAGAGTCTGACACTCCCTTCCGCCTCACCCAGGCGGGAGCAGTCATTCGATGATTTTCCCCCCTTAAAAAAAAAAAAAAGATGGGGCCCAAAAGGGCTGTTGCCGATTCGGAGTCGCGGAGAACCTAACGGGTAACCGGGGCTCAGGCTCGGCGTGCAGGAGAAGGAACGGGGTGGTTTTTAGTCAGTAAGAGTCTGACACTCCCTTCCGCCTCACCCGGGCGGGAGCAGTCATTCGATGATTTTCCCCCCTTAAAAAAAAAGACTCCGTGATACAACTGAGAATTTTATTTTAAAAACCGAGTAATACTTTGCCCCACCCGGTAATCAAACCCGAAACTCCTTGCACGGCAGTCACACTTGCGACCACTCGGCCAACGAGGCAGAGTGAGTGTGTAGTGGAGACGAGAGTTGTGGTACATGGTACCTACTCAACATGTTTCGAGTAACGAGTTACACGTGATGCAACCGGTCCCAGTAGTCAAATCAATCGTTACACGCTGCAGAAACATACTAATATCTGGGAAACTATGTTGTTATACTAGCTGTTGCCCGCGACTTTGGGTCTTTGAATGAAATGGTATACTCTGCGGCTGCAACAAATGCCATTACAATCTATTCAGGTTAGATTTATTGTGAAATGAATTAATTATCGTGGTTTCAAAAAATTTATAATCCCGCAGGGGTTTTACCAGTACAGAGCCCGGAACCGTAACGTTTTAGTGATAATGCGGCTTGTTCGTCCGCGAGTCACTTGATGCCAGTAGAATACCAGCGCAGCCCAGTCTTACACATGCTGAACTACAATGACATAACAATGAATAGTGGTATGGCGTTGGCCGAGGGCATCTTTAAGAAAGATTATTTCTACACTGAACACCTATCATCCCCTATTTGATCCCCTGTCGAAGCGCCTACTGCTTTATAAAGGCAATTACACTCGACTGGCTAATGACGCCAACGAGCGCACGTTAGGCGTATTTGTAGTTAATATTAGATATTGTATTCTGTAACCTCTCATCAATCTGTTTTTGTCATTGTTCGGATTACACGCTATTAATTCTACTCGACTGCTTTAAATTATTTTACCACCTTGGAGTTTTCTACATCCCCTTAGGGGTGGAATTTATCAAAATCCTTTCTTAGCTGATGCATACGTCATAACATTTACCTACCTGTATACCAAATTTCAACCCGATCCGTTTAGTGGTTTGGGCTGTGCGTTGATAGATCACTATGACGGTCAGTCAGCGAGTCAGTCAGTCAGTAAGTCAGGCAGTCACCAATGGGGAGCAGTCCACAAGCAAATGAACCGAGGATTTCGCTGGAGTCAGTTCGTGTGAGCACCTGGAGTCGCACAGGTAATGAGGTGGGTGGTGTGTGACGTCACTGCGGCGCGAGTCATGTGCAGCATCTAGCGAAGTGTCACGTGCCGCGGCGCGACCTAGTGCTGTGTGTGCTGGTGCATTGTGATGGAAATGCCGCGCAGTATACATACAGGCGCGCGGCCTGCTCCGGCCAGTCGCCGTCAGGTCCTGCCAGCGGCCACCAGTCACTGCCACACACTGCCATACACTGCCACTCACTGCCACTCACTGCCGCCATGTGGCGCCCCGCGCACGTGCTGCTACTGCTGCCCGCGCTGCTGCTGCTCGTGAGTGCTGGCGGTTATTGTACCGTACTATAGGACTATGTGTGTCAAGTGTCTGACGTATGCTATTGATCCGCAGTGGAGTACCTCGGCGGAGGCGGGCCCACTATTCGAGTCACTGAGTCTCCTTCCGAGGTAAGGCACCGGTTATAACAAACATTTTTTATTTTTTGGAGATAGTAGGTAAACAAACAGACGTAACACCAGTGCAATGTCAAGTGCGACACCGGCCTTAGAACAGATACGCTCTTTACTTGACCGTTCGCTGTGCGAGGCAGAACGTTTCGTGAACAGCGTTTTCTTACGAAGGTTGTGGTGACAGGCTGACAGTGACAGGAGACAGTGTTACATCATCAGGTTTATTCAATTCGATACTTATTTTGAAAAGTCAAATCTTGATTGTGTCAAGTCAAGATTGTTTGTTTGTGGTACATACATCAGTACGTCTAAATATTGAAACATAACATAACGCCTTTTATCCTCGAAAGGGGTAGGCAGAGGTGCACATTATACCACTGTACAATGTAACACCCACTTTTCACTATTTATGTTATGAGTCCCATCTAATAGGGGGTGAGCCTATTGCCATATACCGGGCACAATTCAAGCCTCCGTGCTACTACTGAGAATATTTAAAAACCCAGTAATACTTTGCCCGACCCGGGAATCGAACCCGAGACCCCTTGCCCGGCAGTCGAACTTACAACCACTCGGCCAACGAGGCAGTCTAAATATTGTAATTCGTATGATAATGACGGATCCTGTTACATCCTTCGTGGGCCATGCTTCGGCACGAATGGGTCGGCTCGACCGGAGTGATACAGAGTATACGGAGCCTCACAGAAAACCGACGTGAAGCAACGCTTGCGTTGTGTTTCGTCGTGTGAGTGAGGTTACCGGAGGCCCAATTACCCCTTCCCCAATCTTCCCAAACCCTGAATCCCCAACGATCCTCAAACTCCTAATCCCCAAAAGCCGGTAACGCACTTGTAACGCCTTTGGTGTTCCAGGTATCCATGGGCGACGCCGGTTGTTTACCATCAGGTGATCCGCCTGCTCGTTTACCGGCTTATGCCATAAAAAAAAAACATCCACCACAACAAGTACAAAATGTTTCACGGTTTACTGGTAAATTATGCATAATAATATAATAGCCGTGTGCGTGTGTGTGTAGTGCTGGCAACGTGTCGGAGCACCTGCAGCACCAGCTGGCCGCGCTGGACCTGCTCGCCGGCCTCGCCAGCCTCGCCGCCGACACGGCCGGCGCCGGTCAGTCACGTTTGTGGATTACGTAACATCAACGCGTTGTTGTCTAGTCCTTCTAGGACAAGAGACACAGAGAGTTATTGTTCTGTACGTATGGGAACCCAGCGGGTTGGCCAGCCACTGCGACAACTGAATTATTAACATCACAAATACTAAATTATGCAATTATGTCAAAGTCAAAGCATTTATTTCAATTAAACTATCATTTGGTACTTTTGAAACGTCAACAAATACAAAATAAATAATTGTCTGTCAGTGTAGGTTCGTAGATTCGAATGAAGAAGAAGAACGAACGAGCAAGAAACTCCATTAGTTACTCTTTTAAAAAGAGTATGTTCTACAATATCTCTGATACATATTCCAATACAGTACGCATATGTAAGAACAATGCAAAGATACGCTTGACGCATTATACAAAATACAAAACTTACTAAAATAAAAATAACAAAACAAAAAAAAAATCTTATAATCTAACATGGTGCTCACATATGCATACCGACAATCCATAAAAATAGTGCTTCTATACAAGGAATAGGGAACTCTTTGTTTCAATAAGAAAGAAATGCTCGATGCCACAAGGAAACTAGATTATACATTACAATGAAAGTATTAAATTATTAAATTATCGACTATTGGAATCTGAGTAACTACCGACTACATTTGAATATTGTCCAGTGGAGCCGAAGCAACATGCTGCCAAGCATTCTTATTAATAATAACAAATTAATATTATGTAAATTACAGTGGCCATTATTTTGAGGAGCCATGAAAAAAAGCCGTTTTAACTAGCTCCCAATCGAGCTATTTCATTTGAAATCAATATAGAAGTAACTGTAGATTATATATTGCATGGTTATCAAGACTAAGAGTGGTACCAAACATCAAATCGATCTGTCGTTAGGAACGGGGTAAAATTTAATTACTTAAACCACAAATGGGGCAATTAAATAGATTAAGTATAAAGAAAAGAAAAGAAAAAATTGCAAAACAAATTAAAATTATACAAATTAAATATAGGATCAAATAGATCAAATAGTCAATGTAAAGAAAATAGCAAGATAATGACACAAATGTAAATTGAGTAGCATTTCAGTATTTGAGTGGTAAGAATAATATATGTGATGATATAATTGTGATAACAGACATTTTGTTTTAATCACACTAGTAAGAACAAAATAAAAATATTTAGCTCTCTAGGCAGTTCATAATACTTTACAAGCGTATGATAATAATAATAAATATCATCGTCAACCATTAGAACTGCTATAAAAATATAAGCTTGTTGTGTTCCAGGCTAACAGCACTCAGTGTACAGTGTACCTGCGGGCGAGCGCGTGGCACGCGGTAGCGCCAACTTGATGAAGCTACACCTGCACTAGTGCACGCCATGCTGCGCGCTGCAAGTGCTGCAAGTCCTGTTCAGCAACATAGTCACATGTGCTCGCCAGCATTAAGTACGTGTTACGTAATTACATAACTATTATACATAATCGAGACTTTTATTATAAAATAATATTAGCGACCCGCCCCGGCTTCGCGCGGAAGCAATATGCATATATCATACATATAAACCTTCCTTAAGAATCACTCTACCTTTTAAACATCTAAGCATACATAGGGGCAGACAGACGGCGGATAGCGACTTTGTTTCATACTATGTAGTGATTTTAAAATCTACTTAGTTCATTGATATTTAATTTGTATAGTCAGATTATTTGTCTAAAACATTCTGTCAGAGATTCTTTAAAATGACAGCTGTCAGAATTAGATGATTCAAAATGACATTAGGTCAAAACTAAATCTATCAAATGTCAAAATGACATCTATCAAAGTCAAAATAACATGCATAAAGTGTCAAAAAACCATCTTTATAACGTCGAAATTATATCTGTCAAATGGCAAAACGACATCTGTCAAATTCTCAGAAAGAGACACCAACTGCTAAGTTCCGTGACAGCGTCTTCACTCGGTGGTCGGTGGCGACTCTAACTGAAGTGAGCTCCGCCGAGTGCAACTCCGACGCCACGACTCTGCCTAAGGGCACCGGAAATCCGCTAGGTGGCGCGCTTTTATTCCATTTAGCGTCCATACTCATGGCCGGTTCTGACATGGCCATCTTGCATGACACACATTAATCTGAAACAAAACGAAAAATAGCGCAATCTGCGTCCGGCCAATCCTGCCACACTTAAACAATACTTTAGCTATTCACAAACTATAAAAACAGGATCACTGAGACCGCGTACCCTTGATTAGATAGCCAAGATCACTTAGAATCAACCAAATCAATTTCAACAAGCATCAAATCTCAAATTCGTGGTTCATAGCCATTGCATCGCAATACCTCCAACAGACACACATTCTTCCCAAAGGGAAGCCCGAGTCAACTCATGACTCTATGATCTTTGCTATAAGGCAAGATCCGACTGTACCACCCAGAATTACCGCCTACCGCCTACCCTCAGTCTATTCAGAAAGTAGATGCCGATTTCTATTAGGCTAAGGCTACTGCATTCTGGTACAGTCTCCGACTCAGCGAATTATAAACTTGTGCAAGTAATTAAGTAAATGCTACTTCATCATTCATCTCATCATCGACCATCTCAATCGGTATTTGGTCCTCAGGCATCCAATACGGTCATGCGCATACTTGGAGGTACGCTTATCAATTAATGATTTCAAAACATACCGGACACCGAGATCTTTGGCTCGCTAAGCCAACAGAGTAAGTCATGGTCATCTAATACCTAATCAATTCAAAGGGGTTTATAATTACAACTTTACTCTAATTTCATTCGATTCATTTGACACACAGGCGCTTTGCCACACAGGTGCTTTGCCACACAGGCGCTTTGCCACACAGGCGCTTTGACACACAGGCGCTTTGCCACACAGGCGCTTTGCCACACAGGCGCTTTGCCACACAGGCGCTTTGCCACACAGGCGCTTTGCAACACAGGCGCTTTGCCACACAGGCGCATTGACACACAGGCGCTTTGCAACACAGGCGCTTTGACACACAGGCGCTTTGCCACACAGGCGCTTTGCCACACAGGCGCTTTGCCACACAGGCGCTTTTCCACACAGGCGCTTTGCAACACGGGCGCTTTGCCACATGATCTTCATAAATGCGGTCTGGTGTGTGAAGACCCATAGCCACATGTTCCTCATGGGTGCGGTCCGAGTACGAGTGCGGGAATATGATGTCAGTGTGAGTATGTGAGTGTGACTGTGTGAGTTATAGGTGTCGAGTGCAACTCATGACATTGACACTTTATAAAATTCTCGAGGAACCTTGTGATCAGATATTCTTCTCATCCTTTGTTCTCAGATCTACTGTATTTCAATTTCATCTGTTACAATTAGATTGCTCGACATTTTATGTAACTTATAGGCGCCGCGATAGACATTTTTAAAGACGCACTATAATAATGAAATACCGAGTCTCGTTACTCCGCGTTTTCTCTATTAGATAGACGAAACCAGACTTCACTACATCTGAAATAACCACCGAACAGCCTATCTACCCACTACAACGCACTTAGCGGAAACATATCTCAAGGTATCTTTAAATGAAAATCAAAATAAATGATCAACAGCCATCAAAATTTTTAAAGTTAACCACAATTTATATACTAAGTGTCACCAAGTGTGGATAGTCGCTCGCAAGTACTCCAGAGTCACAAGTCAGCCACGACTTTAGTTTCATTATATGGGCTCGAGTCCCTGCCCCAGTAACGACTATGACTAGCACACACGATGCGATAAAATAAATCAGAAGTTTTACCCTTACGAGTACTGTCACTACTGAAAGGCCCTAATTATAACAAATTCCCCTATTTGCACAGCGGCTGCTTTAAGCAGGTCGTTCGAGGTTAGGTCTGGTGAGGTTAGGTCTGGTGAGGTTAGGTCTGGTGAGGTTAGGTCTGGTGAGGTTAGGTCTGGTGAGGTTAGGTCTGGTGAGGT